CGGTGTACACTGCGTCCATCATTATGCATGAACCCCAACGCAAAGGGGCACAGTCTATATATCTGTGTCCTTGTGGTCTGCTATGTTTTTCTTGATCATTTCGAAATGTTTAACAATGTTGTTCAGACCCCTGCGCCACCGCCAACCTCAGCCGGTCTTCGCTTAAGCCACAACCCCGCCCATCACCTACCCACCACCACTTTTTCCAACCCGGCATTTTGAAATTCGCTTGTTTCTGATGACCTCCCGTGGCAAAACCTCAAGCTATCCAGCAAATGATCCGGATTCGAACAGCGGTGAGTTTATATCGTCACCCTGGGAAATGATGTCGAAGTGGATTGACTGATTCGGTGTCCTCTATTCTCCCTCTTACCCCGCTCCACCATGCCTATGACTACTCGTAACCGCCGCGCACGCGCACTGCGCTTAGATATGCAGCTCGACTCAGATGTCGATATGGAGCCCGAAGTCGAAGTTCGGCCCAAGAGAAGGGATGAATTGAACGAGGACCAGGACGAGGGGGAAGGATCCAATGTTGACGTCGAGACTGTCGCGGAAGGCGGAGGGGACGATATGGAGGAGGACGGTGAGGAGGAAGACGACGATGATGACGGAGAGGGTGGGGAGGACGATGAAGAGGACGAAATCGAGTCTGATGCCGACGAACCACCGAAAGCCTCTGGTTCACGCTTAAAAATTCGGCTCAAGATGCCGACACAGTCCTCCAGCAGATACGAGACTCCTCTCGTCGAGTCAGAAGACTCCATGGACTCCACGCCAGCAACCACGCGCCCGCTGACTACACGACAAGCTGTCCTTGCTAGCGTTATGGATGCTTCACACGTTTCCCTTGGGTCATCTCGGCAGAAGAAGGCTCCTCTCAACGAGACAGAGCTTGCTCTGCGAAGGGAAGAGACAGCTAGGAAACGACGGAATCTCACAGAGAAGAAGCTCGAAGACGAAAAGGTATGTTTTATACTTTATTGCTGCTTCTTTCCCAAGCTGACGACCCATGACAGGCGGAAACTATCAATCGACTTCTCAAGAAACAGTCCCGGCCTCGAAAGAAGCGTAACGCACCCCAACGAGCCGACATGGACGACGTTGCTCCTCTCGACACCCGTTCCAACTCCAACTCCGCCTATAACCCCTCTCGTCCCAAAAAGTCAAAGAAAGGCGCCGTCGATGAAGATCCAGACGAGGGCGACGGCGAGGACGAGGATGGCATGGACGAGGGTGAGGAAGCCGAAGAGGAGGTACCGGAGCGCGAGGTGAAGCCCCCAACGATGTACCGCTGGATCTCGACATCCCGACTATGTCCAGGCGAGGGTTCAGGGCCCCCCGACGCTCAGATGCGGATTACATTCTCGGTCCCGGCGTCGGCGCTCCCACCACCACCACCCCCGTCCAATGTCCAAACGCTTGCTGCAAAACCGATGACCTGTCCGTGTGGCCGACCAATCATTTATCGTCTGGTCAAGGAATACCCCCGTGGGGCGTGTGGTCTTGTCTGTTTGAGGAACCAGGCGGAACAGAAGGCGCGAGAAGAGCGCGACAAGGAACGGGCTGCGGAAGAAGAGCGCAAGAGGGACGATGAAATATACTATGCGGAGAAACAGAAGTACGAAGAGGAGCGTGCTGCGGAAGCAGAGTACGAAAGGTGGCGTCAGTCGCCGGAATATAAGGCCCAGGTCCTCAAGGAGCGAGCAGAGTACGAAAGGCAATGTGCTTTGGAGCACAAAGTGCCGCTCCCGTGGAAAGGAATATAGGAGTCACATCCTAGGACCGAGTTATACTCTGTCACTTTTCAATCTGGCTCTCAGCTCAGTGACGCGATCGCGGTCTTTCCCATTCGCGTGGTCTCCTGACTACTGGAGTTCCTCCTCTTTCACCATCGAGCCGTCTCAAAAGACGGTGGGACGGGCGCCTGTCTACTACCACTACGCCAAGGAAGCTCACGAATAGAGTTGGCCATCCATCCACACATTCAATGTTCAACACTCAGGCCTTTAGGTGTCACCTTACGATGGATAATCGTAACATTATATCTTTCACATCCCCCACTGTTACCTAGTACTCAGGGCTTATTAGATGAAGTAACTAATATAACAGGATTCGAATAGTCAGGCGTTGGGAGCTCTGGGTCAACGCGTCAGTCGTGTCTCTCATGCCTCTCCGAATGTTAATCCCACCCGGGCTGGTCTCTGCAACACGACCTGTCATTCTTTCTGGCGTTGTCGGCCCTTGGTATTTCATGCTATTACCGACTGAACCAGCCTTGCTTTGGACGAGGACATGTACGATCGCGACGTCGACGTGACTTGCAATGACGTCCATACACAAACCATATTTACGATCGCCGCTCGACGCGCCTGATTCGTATAAATTTGGCATAAATACGAGCAGTTCGTGTCCTTTCCTCTCCTCCCTCATCAAAACCCCCATATACACATATACATATGCATCCTTCTCTGCAGTATGCTCCTGGTCAGACACCAACCATCCTTGTCGTCATCGGTCGTAAATGCCTGCCATGCCCATCTCATCGACGTTGTTCGGTCTCCTTGACGTATATTGACGGCATACATCTGGCGACAACAATAGTCAAGCCATCTACCATAGTGGGCTCCAGTCTTCGAGGTAGACTCTCTCGTGGGCATGCAGGCCGGTTGTCCACGTTATCCGGCTTGGGCTTGAGCCTAAAGGTCGATTTGACAACATTGCATTTGAGTCAATATTAAATCCGGCAACCACCCACTCGAGATCAAGGTGTGGGGTGTGATGTGATTCCTTCCTTGAGTTCACGTTGCCGACGGTATAGGCGGCCAATGGAAGATTCATGTGTGCAAGGTATGCCGTTAATATTACCGGCCCCAGGTGATACATTCATCTCGAAGCCAAGCTTAAGAATAGTATGGTGGGCACTAACAGCCGTATGGATGAGATCCAGCCGGGACATGAGCACCCTTAAAGTGGAAACCCATGGAGCTAATGGACAGGGCCAGGAATACGACACATCCATGAGCACAAGGTACGTGTACGTCGCCTTGTCGTAAGAATACCCTGTTCCATATCAGATCTTTGAAGTTATTATCGAGCATATGACAAGCGGCCGCAAAGCACTGCTCATAAGTTTCCACGCAATTTCTGAGGTCCAGACAAGAACATTCGAGGTATATTGCAATCAGTCAGCCACTGGTAAGCCGGCAGGACATGGATGCTGCCACTGGTGTGAACGCTGACGAGTTTTCGGTTCGGATCTGGCCAGGCCCCGACCCCGGCTTGCCGAGTCGTCACGTTTCTGGCTTTATAAGCGAAAAATTCGCCATTCTTGGCAATATCGTTCATGATCATGGCACTGTTTGCCTTGACGCTGACAAGTGCAATGGTTCATATAAAAAGCCAGCTAGCTTCGGTCGAGCCTTCATTTTTCTTACAACACTCACACTTGAGCCATCATGTCCCCATCCCTGGCTGAAATCTCTACTGGAGCCTCCAAAAAGCACGAGGAACTTGGGTTTGGAACCCGTGCAATTCATGTAGGATCGGCTCCTAACAAGGAAACTGGTGCCGTTATTCCATCTATATCATTGAGCACGACGTACAAGCAGGATGCCATTGGCGTTCACCAGGTCAGCATCCTCTGATTTCGAAGCCGATCACAGATCTCATTCTTCGCAGGGCTTCGAGTACTCTCGGTCAGGCAACCCTAATCGTGATGCCTTCGAGGAGACATTGGCGTCGCTTGAGGCTGGAGGTGCGCATGGCCTTGCATTCGCATCAGGCTCCGCGACAACGGCGACAGTTCTGCAATCCCTCGGGCCGGGATCACACATCGTCAGCGTCAACGACGTGTATGGAGGCACCTTCCGGTACATGACCAAAGTAGCGAACCTCAATCAGGGCCTCGAGACGACTTTTGTGGACCTCGAGAACGCCGATGACGAGACCTTCATCGCCGCGATTCGCCCAAACACCAAGGTCCGTATCTCCGTTGTCTATCCGAGTCTCACCATCTGACTTTCGCTTGTGCAGCTTATCTGGATCGAATCTCCGACCAACCCCACTATGCGCCTCATCGACATCGCGCGCATCTCTTCTATCGCACATGCGCACCCCTCTAAGCCCCTCGTCCTCGTGGACAACACGTTCCTCTCGCCCTTCTACTCCTCACCCCTTCTCCTCGGAGCCGACATCGTGCTCCACTCGCTAACGAAATACGTCAACGGGCACTCGGACGTCGTCATGGGCGCGCTCATCCTGCCAGCGCACCACACCACCCTCGCAGCCGACCTCCGGTTCCTCCAAAACGCTATCGGGGCCGTTCCAAGCCCATACGACTGCTGGCTTGCCCAGCGCGGCGCGAAGACGCTGCACCTTCGCATGAAGGCCCACGGCACCAACGCCCTTGCTGTCGCCAAAGCTCTCGAGCGCTCCCCACATGTCGAGGACGTCATATACCCTGGCCTCGCGTCGCATCCGCGCAACGACGTTGCGTACGCGAGCCTCTCTCCCCACGCACGTAAGTTCGTCGATGCGCAGGGCGTGGATGGCGGCTTTGCGTATGGCGGTATGATCTCGTTTAGGATCAAGGGAGGCGAGGCACAGGCGGAGAAGTTCCTCACTTCGACGAAACTCTTCACACTTGCGGAGTCGCTAGGTGGTGTTGAGAGTCTGGCGGAGCATCCGGCGAGGATGACCCATGGTGGCATACCAGAGGCAGACCGAGCGCTGCTGGGTATCAGCGCGAACTTGGTGCGACTGTCGGTCGGGGTAGAAGATATCGATGATCTCTTGCATGACATTGAGCAGGCACTGGAGGTGGCTGCTGCGACATTGTAGGCTGTAGAAACCTAATGTGATACCCTTCGTTACTTCTGTGAAAAGCACTATAAAGATAAAGAAAGCATTGGAATATCGCTTCGTTGGAGGCTTATTGATAGCCAATAGCCACATATGTCTTCCTAAAAAGAACCGTGTTCGCATATCACGAAAGGAATTACACTGAGAGGGAATCGAACCCCCGCCGCTTGCTTACATAAGCCAGACTTCTGTTCTTAAGTGGAAGGCAAGCATGATAACCACTTCACCATCAGTGTCATATCCTAACCTTCCCGCCTAACTTCCAGAATCGGTTTGTATCAATTCTTCGAGACACCACCATGATTGTATTATGAATATCATTTGAAGTACCTCAAGTTTGAACCAAATTTTAACCAGACCGCCGCCGACCATACTGGAGAACCTCAAGCCCACATTTTCCTCAGTTCAAACTTGGTATGTCTCGTGTGCGCGTGAGATACTCTGGGAAAAGTTGTTTAATACCACTCTCTACGTCCAAATCGCCCTGATCAGCATTACGGTGGCTTCACAACTCTCTACCTCGTCTGAGCTCGTCTGGACTCTGGGCCCTGCCACCACATACGCCCGAACCTGCCTCATGAGCCTGTATTCAACACGATATACATCCGGTCCCGTAAGTTTAACTACTGGGTCCTCTACGCGTTGCCTAAGCCGCGGTGTCTAAGTATTCATCAGCAACCCCGGGGTACTACCCTTTGAAGCATCACAATGTTGTGACATTAACCATTTTAAGGCGATATAAAGCCCTTGTAGGAAGTGGCGGTGTGCCGAGAATTTTGCATCGGGAAGCGTGCAATTCGACGTACCCCCCAGTTCTGGTGCCCATCAATAAATCCTGGAGAACGGCGTGCAGCACCTTACATGGCCAGATTACGATGCTGGAGAGAGCAGAGTGGACGAGTGGAACCCCTGTTTTTTTGCGAAACACAAGAGCCGGGTATGTAACCCTCTTGCTCGACGTCGCTGGGTGGTTGTCTTGCTGACTTGTTTCGTATAGGGCCATTGGAATGTGAATGTGCAGCTTCCGTCGCTGTATATCAACACCATCGGCGTCCTTCGTGATGTTGTGCCTAATTTTGACACCGGGCATAAATATATAATCTTTGGAAAGGGAGGGACACACATCTCTCAATTCGAAACTGATTTATGGCGTCTCTGGAATGAGAACACGATAAAGAGGATGATCCTCTAAATCTGGTCTTTCTGATCATGTAGCCTCTCGATCTTCTTCTAGAGTGCTGAGTCAACGCTGTTTTGGGGTAGGCACTTCGTCAATTTGATCCCTCGATAGACCCAACGATCCCACAAGGCGTCTGGATAATTGCAAGGGATCTTCACCGTTGTTGGCTGACGGGTGGTGAGTGATTCATGCTCGTCTGCATTGCGGTCTTCACGCCGATGCTTCTCGTAACAGCCAAAAAAAAAAAAATTCATCCGCTTTACATATAAATACTCAAACGAAGACTCCTGAATACCGGTCTTGCCTCCCCCCAGACATGGATTCCAAGCTCAGAGAGCTACTGAAGCTGGCTCAGAGACCTGAACAGCAGCAAGGTATACTTTCCCATTTCTGAATTGTCCATCGCGTGTAATACGACATCTTCAAGCTTTGCGGGCAGAGGAATAGTTAATCATCGCGAGTGTTCCGATCTTTGACCTGGGTATCCAGGTTAAACTTGGTCATTTGCTGCTCTGCAGAACGAAGTGAACGCGCGCCTTTCAATGCAAGTGTCTGTCAACAATATGCTCAATAGCACCATGACTCAAGCAGGACTGTTTTTCGCGAACGCTGCGTTACCAGCTGCCATACACTGGGAAATATCTGAAAGCAGTGGAAACTGGATTTTTTGAGGGTATCTGATATCATGAACGCTGTCCGTCGATAATTCATTTATATGTAGATAACAAGACGCGTTTTGCGTCAGTTTTGTGAGATTAGAATTAGCAGAGGAGATTTATTGGCCGGCCCGAATATTGGGCCGATAATCTCCTTCCTATCTTTCAGGCGTGCGACAACTAATTTTCTGGCTCCCCTTCATCCCTTCCCACCACCTGTTCAAGCTTCAAGCTTCAATCTTCAATGGCCGCTGCGAAAGTGCAGGATGTTCTCCTGGTTGGATTTGGGGCCGTGGGCGCAATGTGTGAGCAATCTATCGCGCGTCTAACATTTCATTCATGACTCATATTTGACCTTTAGATGCGTTGATTCTCCAGAGGAGTGGCCTCACTCGCGTGACTGTAGTCGCGCGAAGCAACTACGACGCCATCCAGGGTAAGAATACCTTGCATTCTAAGGGTGTCAGCCGACCTTCTGTTCAAAGACCACGGTGTTAGGTTCCAGAGCGCCAAGTACGGCGTCATTACTGGCTGGCGCCCTGATCGTCGTAAGTATGGAACTACACACCTTGTTCAGTAAGTCTAATGCCTCCAAAGTGGTTCGATCTATCAAGGAGGCTGCGGATCGGCCATACTCCTATGTGTTCGTAGCCACGAAAGCTATTCCGGAACGTACAAGCACTCCTAGCATCTTGAAGCCTCTTCTCTCTGCCCCCTACGCAGAGCAATACCCGCAGCCCACTTACGTGCTCCTTCAGAATGGCCTGAATGTCGAGGTCGACCTGTACCATGCCATTAAGCAGCTCGGAAAGGAGCCCAGTATAATTAGCACAGCACTCCGGATCAATACCAATCTATTGAAGCCTAATGTTGTCGAACACGGTACTGTGGTACGACATCGACTATTTCGCTAGGCCCATCTGACACTTTCTTATGGTCACCAGGACCAAGTGAGCATCGGCATGTATCGTCACAATGACTTTACCACCGACACAAACACGCCCCCAGAGGCGGCTATATTGGAGGATCTCAGCACTATTCTAACCGCTGGTGGTAGCAATGTACAGGTCGCTCCTGAAGTGCAACGCCGGAAGTTCTCAAAAAACTTTTTCAACGTCGCGTTCTCTTCCTTTACTACTCTGACTGGGTTAGTCATGGATCTACGCCGAAGATTTATTAATACTGAAAAGTCCTTTCAGCCATAGTGTTCCTGCGCTGTTCCGGCCACCTCCTTCCGACCCCTCAGTGTCGTATACGCCTTATATATCACCAACAACCGCGCATCTTATCTCAGACCACACTCTCCCAACCATTAGAGCCACTCTACAAGAGCTTGTTGTCCTTGGTGCGGGAAACCACCGATTCTTCGTCACACCCGCGAGCTAAGACATCACTTTCAGGTCGAGCGCTTGGATACCCAGATTCAGAGGATGGTATACCCTCCACCCTACCAGATGAGGTGATCGAGGGCATGAGGAAATTGTATGTTGTTCCGGAAAGCACCCACAAGCCGAGCATGATGCTTGATGCTGAGAAGGGGCAAGCAATCGAGGTTGAGGCTATCTTCGGCGAGGTCGTACGAATGGCCCAGGAACGGGATATCGCGGTCCCGGTGAGTACCATCCAGCTACCAACATGACCAGTAATGAATAATCTTTCTACTAGCGTGTGGAGATGCTGTACGCACTTCTCTTGGTCGTTCAGAATCAGCTACTAGCCAAGTTAGAATCAACACCATAGATCTAAGATTGTTATAGGTATGGGACAATAGACTTCGGACGGGAGTGGTTCTCCCGTGAACTGGGCGCTTCGCCTTGGTCGGAATGAATGCCAAAGGCTAAGAAGAGACTCCTTAGTTTGGCGCCCGGTGTTTTCGCTGTCGAAGATGTCCAATTCATTGACAGAAATGGATCGTCCACGGAGTGTGGGGCGCTTGAAGAGCCTTGAAAATCGGACCCTCTATCGTTCTTGGACAGGCGAAGCTCGGATACAGCGAAACGCCGAGCCGCGTTGTTGTACTGCTTCAATTGTCGTTCCATGTGTGCCCCCAGGAGTCGAACTCGAAGAATTAGATACAGGCTTCCTTTTCATACGACACCGAACTTCAAAGAAGCATTGCGACATCTGCGCAGCGCCTCGAAAATCGGACACTCATGCTTCGTTTTTGGACAACGAAACCCCAAATCGCGTTGTTTTTCTTGGGAAGTTGCACTACTATTCTAATTGTTTTTCTGGCATGTGCGCCTCCAGGAGCCTAACTCGGAGAAATTCTATCTAGATTCCTTTTCATGCGGTGCTGACCTTCGACGAAGTGTCGCAAGCGCGCAGTGTCTCGAAAATCAAACAACAACGCTCCGTTCTTAGACAGACGAAGGTCGCATGTAGCAAAACGTTGGCTTGCGTTTGCTTTTGGGCAACTCCTCTGCTCTCCCTCATGCGCATCCAGGGATCGATTTCAAAGAACTTCAACCAAGGCCTCCTTTTCATGCGCTACCGAACTTCGAAGCAGCATCGCGACAGCGCAGCGCCTCGAAAATCGGACATATTTCGTCCTTTGGCAGACGAAGCTCATATGCAGCCACATGCCGACCACCTCTGCGAGTATCGGGTAAATTCTCTGCTAATTCAATTGTGCTTCCGTATGCGCCTGGGGGGTCCATCCTCAAGAATTTCTATCCTGGCCTCCTTTTCATATGCTGCCGAACTTCGAAAAAGTGTGACAACACCGCTCACATTCTGTCTGGTCTTAAAGCCTGTCGTTCAACGCAGACCCCACTTCTCGTTTACCACATGTGAACTACTATCGAGAAAAAGACGTTCCATAGCACCACCTAATGGCCCGAATTCATGACCAAAGTCGCTCTTAGAAGCTTTAGAAGCTGCTAGAACGTTACCCGGCGCTTCTTTCCCCGGGGACGTCGCTCATGCTCTGGGACGTGGACGTGCGGCCCCTTTGGGCTTCGCGGTGGGTAATATAAAGACTCAACTATTCGTCAATCCTCAGACCAAGCATCTCACAGCTGCCTCTTCTACCTTCAAACCATCGATTCAGCATGCGTTTCGCCAGCCTCTTTGTCCTGGCTTCCGCCATCGTCTCTAGCTTTGCTTCCACGCATGACCTCTCCGACGATATCAAGGGGTTGACCACTGTTACTGACAAATTCGGTCAGGACATCACCAAATTCGACGGTAAAGCAGCATCAGTTCCAGTAGGTCCCTTTTGCCGTCGTAGAATTAAGCCAGCTAACGCTTACGCAGGCACTACTGGGATCTTATAATGGGCTCACTGCGTCTCTGGACAAAGTCAATCAAGGCCTTGGTGTGAGCATTCTCCGTGATTTCCTTTTTTAAAACCTCCCTTTGAATCAAAAATTAGGACCATGCACCGCTCACCCAAGCC